TCGCATACTGTTTTTCGCCTACTATATAGTATGGAAGTATGCGATTTCGGACGCAGCTATTGTTTTGACTCTGCTCTGCTACTCTGTGCACGGATGACGTATGCATGCAATTTCCCGCAGAATCCGTTCCTACAGCTCTAATACAAATCGTTAATAGGATGTTGTTTTATTAACGTGTATTTGAGTAAAGTAAAAAAGGTAAAAAAAATTTCTTTGCACTCTCTTATTAATAACATTTTGTTATTTTTATATTTAAAAATTGCGAAGTGTAGCTTTAAATGTATCCATTTACGTTTGCGAGAGTGTAACTGTAACTGGTTGTGATCATACAGCTGAGAACTTGCAGTGTCTGTTAGTGGCCAGAGAGGGGCGTCAGTAGAGGGGTATAGGAGAAAGGGGCTGGCCGAGAACTGTCTTCAAACCAATGATCGGCAGAAGCTCATGCGCTTTTACACTGAGAATTCGGTTCAGAGCGGAACACACTGACAGCATCAGCTCCTCTTTTCATGTGTCTGCGTGCACACCGATAGTGAGTGTCAGCTGAGAAACCACCTCATTACAATAACATCTTTTATTTCATTTCCTCGGAGGAGACGTGTTTCATCGCCGCAGACGCACGGCGCATGGTCCTCTTAACCCGAGTCCACCTGTGTGTGAGTAAGTGGGAGAGATTTGTTCATTTCCAGGAACGGGGCTGTGCAATTCCTCTTCCTCACCGGACAGAGAGGAGAATCCGTCAACGTCATTTAAACGGGAATAACTGCTTCGATTTTCTACGGAGTGACTATGCGCTTCCTGAGCGGATTGTAAGAGAGGAAAGTCGCCCGTTTGCTCCTGATCCAAAGGGAAAGATCAGGTCGTTCTGCAGGGAATACACGGGTTCGGAAGAAATCCTCGTCCAAATTTGAGTAGGCTACTTGAGAGAGACAAGAAGGAGCGTAGGCTACACAATGCCACTTGCTCAACTGGCAGAACCATGGCCCAAAATGGAGCTGGTGCAGTTGGAGACGGAGGTGAGAAGTGGTGAAATCACAGCACTAAAATGAACTGATTTAATATGTGTCCTCAAGGCTCCTCTATCCGTGCCAGAGGTCCACGTGTTTGTTATGGGGAGTTCATGAGAAAAACAGCAATCGTATAGATATGTGATACTTTCAAAGAATTGTAAAATCACTAAACACTGGTGCAGAGTTCTGCAGGTATGGTTAGCAGTCTTTACTTTACTCCTTTGGAGCGCGAGCATGACGCGCCGCGCTTAAGTAGCGCAGGGATGTTTTGTAACACTGGATGGTCATTCCACAGAAAGGTGTCCCCTGTAAACATTTGTGTAAACAATGACTTTAACAGTGAAAAGCTGTCACTAACTCTTACTGTAACTTATAATAGGCTAGACATTTCTTTTACACAATCAACAATCCAGAAACTTTATTCATGTGGATGCATGTTTTGGTCTGTCCCCAACCTTGTGTTTCAAACTACTTCTTGCTTAATGAAGATAAAAAAATAAAAAAAGATTTGGTTTGCTTGAAGCATAACCCAGATTATGCATCAATGTTATCATCATAACTCCTGTTGTTAAAATAATTTACAATTCCGTTGAAAACGTACAAAGGGCAAGCGTCTCTCTCTTTTTATAGTTTTAACTTAATATTTTGTTAGATTTGTCAGTAATGGGTAAATTTGAGCTCTGTTACTATGATTTTGCTCCGTAAACCACAGAATATGTTTAGAAATATCAATAATAATTCTCTTCTACTGTCCACCTTGTAGTGTCATGGGCTCAAGGCTCGAACTGAATAAATGAACTGCAAAACTTTCAACCCTGTTATTGTATAAGTCATAGCTTTAAAGCATACATGAATTTTTTTTTAAAAGTTTGCTTGAGGTTATATAATGAAACCTATTATCACTTAAAAGACATTCTTAAAAATCAGAAATAAAATTACAGAAAAATCTATTCAAAATTAAAAAGCCACCAATTTTGTGGAATGACTCATGCAGCTTGTAACATTAAACTCTAGTGGAAGAATATTAGTTTTCTTACGTTGTGCTCTGTGAACCAGCTGTTTTCCTGTTTCTTGCTGTGCATTTTGTCTTCTGGGGTACATGTGAAATGTCAGAAAATCAAATAAATAATACAGCGGTCTAAGAAGCACTGGGAAATAGTACTTTTTGAATTATTGTGCTCTTGAATTTGTGTATCCAGAATGTTTGTGGTGTGGGGGACAAAACGGCTGGTTTTATTGGTTTTTATTGCTTCAAAAACATCATGGTGAATCTCAATAGCTGCCACAGGTTTAAAATAATCCACTGGTATCTGTAGTATAAACTGATCTTCTGTAAGGTTTAGCTTTCATACAGTGAGATGTGTTTTTTCTTCAAAAGGTTTACATTTCCTTTTGATTTGCAAAGATATATTCAGATACGCTGGTTTGAAGAATCATATATCTTTTGATCACACGCACAGACCACAGTGCTAACAACTCTGAGAGCTAAACTCCTGCTTTATTTCAGTGTTGTACTACAGTAAACTTTCAGCCCTTTGCATTGTACAGCACTGGAATTTGCTCCAGCAACTTCGGCTGGAGGCCAATTTATAACTACAGGGCAAGCTGAGACAATATGGCCTGCTGTGATGTCCATGATTAATAAGAATAGAAGGAAGACGATTTAATTTCTTATCTTGCTCTCAGACTAATGCTGATCTCTTTTGAGAATCGCTACAAGAGACGTGTTTTTTTAGTCTTTTGTTTCTGTCATTGTAATCTGTTCAATTTTAAGCTTAAATTAACTTTCTTTCTCCCTCGCCGTCGCTCACCCCTTTAATGGGTTCACCAATCAGGCAACAGCAGGTTTGCTGCAGAAACACTCGCAGTACTTCTCAGTCCTTTGAATGAAATTCTTTCTGCAGATGAGAAAGAGAGGCAGATCTGAGCAGAAATGAATCTATATTTATACATTTTGCAGAATAACTGTGCTGATTAGTATCTTGCTATACAGCATTTCAGCAAGTACCACAAGACCGTAAAGTGCTTTCTGATGAAAACTAGGTCAAGTAAGTACTAGGTACAGGATACAACTAAACCGCTTGATTTGTATGAAAAATTAATTTCCGCTTCTTGCTCACTGGCAGCTTTCACATACTGGCAATGCTTAAAGGGGTCATATGATGTGATTTCAATTGTTCCTTTCTCTTTGGAGTAGGGCTGGGTATCATTCAAAAATTTTCGATACCGATACCTTTACTTCGATACCGGTTCCTGAACGATACTTTTTTCGATTTAAATTTTATGAAATAAATTTTAACAAGATTACATTATCTAAAAAAAAAAAACTTTGGTTTTATTTTTCAGCTT